TAATCCTTTTCGACGTGCTAAACTATGACATTTTGATTGTCTTTTTCGACATGCTAAACTGTGACTTTTTATGATATTTTTGTTGCACTGTCTACATTGTTATTGGTATAAATTTGTACGGCTCATTGATAGTTTGATTATTCCCAAATTAATGATAATTCTATTGTCTGGTGGTCACAGCTAGAGACTATGAAATTCTATATTCTCCTCTTTAGAAAAAATATTGATGCTTTGTTGTTCTTTACAACGTTCAGTCGGTTTAACAAATAGCTAAGTGTTGTCCACCTTTATTTACACATTTGGACAGGATATTACAAACACTGTCTCCTCATTTGATTGTTTTATTTTGAAGGTATTTGTAGCCTAGATATTGATGACAATCAAAACAGCTGTTGTGGCTGTTTCCTTGATTTCTTTCTTCTTCAGGAAATATAAAATATAATAAATGTCCACCTGTTGTGTTGACGACGTTTTAATATCCGATTTTTGTTTGGGAAACTAGTCTAAAATGTGTGTATTTAGATTGATGAGGGTTGTCTATCCTCTAGTGGCCACAATGAAGAACTATGTCACATTCATTTCATAATTGTTTTTCAATGCAAATATAAATACAAACACAAACTTACGGTTAACTCTTTGAAATTATTATGAACAAATTCAAACAACCTGAAACAAAACTACTGCAAAAATAATATTACCATTATAACTCTACATTCAACATATGGCATAAATACACAGGTTAATACCTGTACAATCGTTATACACGTTGTATATAACATATCACTGTGTACGAGTCATTATTAGTGGGATTATAATAAATATTCTTTCTATAATTTAATCGTTATTTAACCAGGGTTAGGGTTAGTCAAATTAAGATTAAAACTACAAAATTACACAAACAGGAATTAAAAACAGCTACAAGAGTCATAAAAACATCAGACAATAGAGTTTTAAATGAGAATTCAGGACTAGTTTGCATTCATTTCATTTAAAAGGTGCATAATACCTGAAACCAGTTTAGCCAACATTAGTGTGTGTAAACATGAGGAATATCCAGGGTAAAGTAGTTACTGGATCATGAAGTTACTACATTTAAATAACAAGAGACGTGATGGAGTTTTGGAGCTTCAACGGTATATTTTTAGTTAATACGGTTTAGGTTCTGACTTTTTAGATTTATTTCATCTACTACATATTTCTTTTATTACTGTAGATTCTAAAGTTTAAGCATAAAAAAGACAGAATAACTGTCACAACCATAATTGTGATAAATATCTGTGTTATTACCACTGAAGGATGAGAAGATGGTGGTTACTTTGTATACCTGAAAAGCTAGTGCTGTATAATGTGTTCATTGACTAATCTAATAGTGCAGTTCCTCGTTGTGACCACTAGAGGGCGACGACCCTCATAATTCTAAACATATTCAAGCTAACTGGCCGCTCTATACAAATGGAGGTAAACAAGACATTCAGGGGAGTAAGATTTGCTGCAGAACTCTTTATATGAATGCATTACGTTGCGCATTTATATTGTTTGATGACAAAGTGTAAATATTCTGCTAAATACACTGCAGTATTAGCCAACCTATTTTATGTAGTGTAATGTAATGTAGTTATTCACGGTCGCCACAAGAGGGTGGAAAATACTCGTGATTACAGTCATTTTAGCAGATGCTTTTATCCAAAGCGACTTACAATTCAGAGTCTATCACATTTGTACACCGTAGGAACAACTACGGGAGCAATTTTGGGGTAAAGTGTCTTGCGACATGCGACTAGCAGAGCCGGAGCTGGGTATCGAACCACCAACCCTCTGATTAAAGGACGGCCCTGCTTCAATCAGAGGGTCCACTTAGCCACAGTCGCCCCGGGCAACTAAACACGTGTGTGAGAACAGTGCATGATCTAAACACATATTGAAAACGTTTCGTTAAATGTCATAGCGGTGTACTTCTTGATGCTAGTTGGAGTGATTTGATGACATATTTAATGGTATACTACAGTATGACTTTTTAATGACATTTTTTGTGTCATTTTTGTGACTTTTGTTATGAATTGTTAGTTTTTTATTTTTACAACATGCTGTACTATGAGTTTTTATGCGACTGCTATGACATCTTATACTACAACTTTTTATGCCATTTTTTAATGCAATAATATTCTCTGATATTTTGGAGAGATTAATTGTGGCATACAGTACTTTGACATTTTTAGGACATTTTTGTGACATACTGTAAATTACAATGGCTTGTATGAGTTTTTTTTAATGGCATAGTATACTATGCTTTTATGACATTGATATTTTTATGACATACTATGCTATATTTGTTATGAATGTTTGAGTTTTTTACAACATGCTATACTATTTTTTTTTTATGACCATTGCTATGGAATAAGACATTTTTAAAGATAATTGTTGTGGCATACTATGGTAATGTTCATGGTGTTTTGTGATACTTTGGTCATTTTCATATGACATTTTTCATGGCATGCTATACTATGACACTTTATACTTTTTATGACTGAGGATTTATGTGTTGGTAACGAATCTAACGTAATGTTGTAGTTCCTCACTGTGACCACTGGAGGGCAGTGATTACTCATTTTCCACCAGCCTTAAGACACACAAAACTATATAAACTTTTCCGGCAAAATACCTTCAAAATAAAAGTACCAAAAGACATGTCCACCATAATGTTCCGTGATTTCAGATGATATAATATTAGCACTGTCGTGACTAGGAATTTACTTTTTCACTATTTGTTGCCACTGATCTCTCTCGCGTCGTCGTCGGAGTCGCGTTTTGTTTTTTTATGTTCCGTTGTCTTTATACGCTCCTCAAAACAAAATCCCCTAAAAGAGTGAAACCCACTGTGTGCATGCTCTTTTTCCTATATTCCAGGCTGCAGTTGAAGGCAGCACGGTTACCGGTCTGTCGCGTCTAGTTGATCCGAGTGCGAATGATTTATTGAGAGGCTTCGACTTCGATGTCAACAGAGACAGGAGCGCAAAGACTTCGTGTTTCATCAGATAACTGTCAACTCTGGGTTCATGTCGGAATTGTCTGGATGGAGGGGACGCTAACAGGCGGTAGGTTTCAACTACTACTACTGTAGCAAGTCTAAAAAATATATATACGATATAATCAGCATCATGTTCGCTGCAAGTTGAAACACGTTGCATGAGCTGAAATACATTTTTTGACGAGTACGTGTGTTTAGATGTTGTTGCCCCAGAGTAAAGAGTAAACATGTTAAATTGTTGTATCATCGACTGCTTGTCAAATATTACTCTACCGAATGGTTTCAGCTGTTCACAGTGAGGGACAAAAAAGAGCAATTTGAAGATCACACTTTAGATCCCTGTGAAATTGTGCATTTTGTTTTGTTACATTATTTTCGGACATTTTATAGATTACAGAATTGATAAAGAGTTAATTTCCCGAGACGCTTTTTGAATTCATCTTTACTGTAGCACATCTGTCTTTAGAAATAAGCTGTGTATGCAGCCGGAAGTTGTGATCACTCTCTGCTATTGATGATTGTGTCCCGATCTCACTGAAAACCAATGTGTTGAATGTATCGAGTTATGTGTAGACAGCAAGTGACTCTCAAAGTCCACAGTTAACAATAATAATTTATTTCCAATACAGCAAAAAAAAAAAAAAAAAGTTATAACATTAAGTTTGTAAAGGTATGTGAAATAAGAGGATTAAACTGTTATCATGATTCAATTACAGGTGGTGAATATTGAATGTGTGCTGAATAACAGTATTGTACATTACCTGTTGTAGACACCCTAACATGTCAGTGTTGTGTCTGCAGCTATGGCCATGGAGAGCAGTGTGTGGAGTCCCTGCGACTACAGCCACAACGTCACCTTCTTCTACAACTGGGTGGGCAAGAAGATCAGCGTGGCGTGGACGACGCAGGACTCTGTGGTGATCGGGCTGGGCTTGACGGTGTGTCTCATCGTAGTCTTGGCCAACCTGCTGGTGATGGTGGCCATCTCCATGAACCACCGCTTCCACTTCCCCATCTACTACCTCCTGGGCAACATGGCTGCAGCGGACCTGTTCGCAGGCATCGCCTACACCAACCTGATGTTGCACACGGGCCCGTGGACCAGCACGCTCTCCAAGAAGCAGTGGTACATCCGCGGGGCTTTGATCGACATCAGCCTGACGGCCTCTGTGGCCAACCTGCTGGCTGTTGCCGTGGAGCGCCACCAGACCATCATCACCATGCAGCTGCACAGCAAGATGAGGAAGCGGCGCGTGGTGCTGCTGATGGTCTGCATCTGGGCCGTGAGCATCATCATGGGCCTGGTGCCCTCCACCTTTTGGAACTGCGAGTGCGATCTGGATGACTGCTCCACCGTCGCTCCTCTCTACAGCCGCCGCTTCCTCATCTTCTGGGCAGTGCTCAACCTGCTCACTTTCTTCATCATGGTGGCCGTGTACACTCGCATCTTCGTCTATGTGAGGTACCAGACGTCGCACGCGTCTCATCACACCATGGACATGCAGCACAGGCAAACTGTTGTCAACCTGATGAAAACTATCTCCATGGTTCTGGGTGAGAAGCTGTCTGTGTGCAACCATCCACTGCCGGATGTTAGTTGTGGGTCAAAGGTCAAGTTTGGTTTTTTTAAATCAACCACAAAATTAAGTGTCTAGCTAACTCTAGGCTGTTTCTACAAAATATTAGGGAGCTTTTATTTATTATTTCAGTTTTCAGTATCCGAGTCCTAATCTTCTACAGTTTCTCAGAAAGTAATGTTTAATGGCTTTAACGTGAATTCAGCTTACCACTTAATGTGAGACAAACTGAGGGAACTATTGTGTATTTTGAAGGTATCGGTACTAAATGTGCGCAGGGAGCTGTTGCATATTTGGGTGCGTGCTACCTGCAGCCTCCCACTTCCCCCAAAACCAGTTTTGCAGCTCTAACCTGCGTGTTAGTCAATCATCTGATAACGCTGTTTTTTTTAAAAGTTGAGGTTGATTGAAATCTCATTTCTCAATAACAACCCGCATGTCTGCAGGCGCCTTTGTAATCTGCTGGATGCCGGGCCTCGTGACTCTCTTGCTGGACGGGCTGCTGGGTAAAGCCAGCCACGCCAACGCCTACGAGAAGTTCTGTTTGGCGATAGCGGAATGCAACTCTCTGGTCAACCCCGTCATCTATTCCCTGCGAGACGACGAGATGCGGAGGACGTTCAAGTGGATCCTGTGCTGCTTGTGTCGGAGAGGTGCTGACCAGCAGAGAGAGCTGTCACCTGTCGAGGTTAACTCCCCACTGCCGGAGGTAAAGCTAGAACACAGCCTCAAAGCACCTTTCAACAGGCTTTACTCCATGTTCACCTGTACCTGCGGTCGAGATTAATAAAAAGAAAAAAAGGCCCAAATTCTCCCCCTCAATGAGTCATGCAGGTTTTCCCGTCCTGCACTAATGAACACTGATTTAAATCAAACATATCCGGTATCTTGTGCCTGGCGCGAGATAGAACCAGTAAATTCCTCCTCTTGATTTCTCTTGTATTTCGTTAATCTTTGAGTCAACACCACTTTTCTCGTAAAAAGTGTCTGGGAGGGTTAACGGTGAATGAATGAATGTTACACGGCAACATATTTATCTTTATAGCCCGTAACGCTGAATAAGTTGTGTTTGTTCTACAGGAGACTCTTGGCTGTGTGCAGAAGTTAGAAGATCACGCCGTCTGTACGGAGACGAACCATAAAGAAGACAGTTGGACAATGCCGGGGGTATGATGGCCCCACATCGTATACAATTAAATGATTCAATTGAATGAAAAAAATGTATATAAAGATGCATCTTTTGAAAAGGATTTGTTGGATAAATGCTTCCGTCTCGCTGTCTGACAGATTCACATATTAACCATCAGATGGTGCAATCTCTCCTTTTATTACGTTTGACTATCACAAGAGCAGTTGTGACAAATTATAAAATGAAACACTCCTAAAATCTGAAATCAAATACTGGGAGAAAAAAAAAAAAAAAAAAAAAAAAGTCACACTAAATCATTTTATTAATTTTCGAATAAGAACACTACAATTTGTCATATTCTTCCTTTGTTTTACTCTTTCTAGAACAATTCTAAAGTTGAGGTATAAAAGGAGTTCATACAGACTCACAGGTCTGAAAACAGTGGGGGTTATATACAAGAGAAATGGACAGACAGAGGTAGAGAGAGGGGTAAATACAAGGGAAAGAGGGGAGATACAAATAGACTAATAATAAAAACAAAAATCAAAAAAGGTTTAAGAAACCATTTGGTGCCGTGGAAGTAATTTAGTCACTTGCAGAATCCAAACAAGATTTAAACATGACTAACGTCAAATTAAGTTCTCGGGTTTTTTACTTGCAGATCTGTTGCAAAGGTTCAGGCGTTCAGTCTTAAGGGTTTATGCATGAATGTTTTGTTCTGTGTCCATTTTCAAAGTGAGCGGGGAATGACAAACTGTAGCCCACAGGCTTTTATTGTGACGGTCTGCTTCTCTTCCTGCTTCAAGGTGTTGCAATAATTTAAATCATGTTGCCAGTTAGTCAGTCAAATTCCTTAAACTAAATTCAATATTAACTTCCTCTCAGTCGTATGCAAATGTACTGCTGGCATATTCTCATCATATTTCAGAATCATAAATAACAGACTTGAATAAGTTTTAGAGGTTTTGGGATTCACATCTGGACGTTTACCTTTAGTCGTCATGTGCCGATACATTTTAAGCGCCAGGAGCGTCGATTAACCAGTTTCAAAAACTCATTTTTCCACTCCATAAACAGAAAGGTCTGATCTCGAGCAATAAGTTGAGCATGTTTAAAAACAGATTTAGAAGCACAAATGGGTGAATATTTGGGGGAAGGTAGAAACTGAAGGGGAGTCTGACGGGAGGGAGGTCCATAAATCGATATGGCAAAATACACCAAATAATGTTCGTCGGAGAACCTCAATTGATACAATTGTCTTTCCACAGCACCAAATGTCACATCTGTAAATCCGACACTGCCACCCGGTTATGTAACAAAAAGACCTAAATAATAATTCAAAAAATCGATAGTTATCGTGAATCCTGTGACACAAAGGCCAAATAAAACTGGCATCTCAACCAAAACATCAAAGTTTATAAAAGAAGAAAAAAGAAAAAATACTGAAACATTACACAAACTGTACAGTGACATCCATTACAACAGGTAGAAAAAGGAGGGGGCATGGTAATTTGGTGTGGCGATAACGTTATTCATAAGATACAGTCGTATGAACTGCGATGAGTAACAAAACAAGTAATTAGATGCGGGATATCACACGGGAGCAGCTTTTAAGCTCGAGTTTTGTTCTGTAACATAGAAGAGTCTCGACCGACACTTACATCTTCATAAGGCTTGACCTTACTATCAAAATGCTTTGTTATTCACAGAACAGTTAATGTATAAAAAAGCTCAGAAGAATTAAAATCCCCCCCCACCCCAAAAAACACATGTAGCAGGTTTGTCTTAAACACGAGTTAAGAGCTGTCCTACACCCAGCGCTGCCTCTTTTTTGGTAACAGAGGAGAGAGAGAAGCCCTTGCCCAATCGGCCGTAGAACTAAAAACTAAATATTCGTGGTTTTACCAAGAAGCTGTTAAAGGAAGAGTTTAAGGGGAGAGCACACCTTCTATGCTCACAATCAAATTACAGGTGCGATATGACGGTCCTCACTCCACCCGCCCCCCAACAAACCCCCCCCAAAATAAAATCAACTTGAGGCATGACAACACCACACAGAGAGACACAAGATACAAATATAATTCCCTCCTCTCCTCGAACTGAACAGGTTGCTGTGCACCAACGTTAGAGACACAGAGGAGCATTATTACATTGCTGAACGTGGCATTTTTGGTTTTGGTACAACAGAAGGTTTTAGTGTGTTGCCTTGGGCTCACAAGCTTAAATGTTTTTCAAGATGGTGGGGAGGGGGGGGGGATCTCAGTTGAACCCCACACAATGGTGTGTCATTGGCTGGTGGAAGCACCCCCCCCCACCCCCCGTCTCTCGAATTCTTACAAAAGGTGAGAGGGCACCAGCCGGTTTGACCAAGACATCCCAAGAACACTGTACACACAGAGACACACACATCAGAGCAATACACAATGCACTTTTTTCCTTTTTGGTCTTGACTGTAATAATTATACCCTTTTATTATTTATGTATTTTTTTTGTTAATAAAAACGAAGCTTAAAAACTCGGAAGGTTAAATGAAAAACAATAATATCACGCCTAGAAGTCCTACATGCATGGAAGACAGTCACTTTTCTAAATTCATGTCACGTTTGTCCCAATAACACATCGATGCCCCACAATCTCTTCCACCCTCCTCACGTCATTTAGATGCTTTTATTGAGCTCATTTTTGGTGGCGGCTGGTGCATTCTTGGTGAAACAGCATTAGAAAATTAGCCTACAATCAAATAAACTAGTGGACAGAAAGCAAGAAGTAAAGTCTACAAGCCATCTACCAACACCCCCCTATTGGTTAGCAACAAAAAGGGCTATTAGTTACATCCACTCAACCAAAGATATCCTCCTCTCTGCCCTGCCCTGCCCTTTCCTCCTCCTCCTCTCACCAGCCCTATTATCACCTGCCCTTCCTGGTTTAGAACAGTGGTCCCCTTCACTACCCTTTCACAGGTAGAGACACCCATACCAAGGATGCTAACTGCTGTGCTCGACACATCTTTCATGTCGGCACACTATGAAAACGACTGAGAAGTTGTGAGGTGTGTGTGTGTGTGTTATGGAAGCGGGGAGCACGTCTCGATTATTCACTTTGTTTGGAATGAAACATCGAGCTGTAAAGGACTCGAGGATGTAACAGTGTCTTGTGTTGAGTTGGCAGAGGGTGATCTCAGAGGGGGGGGGGGGGGCAGCACTTTGGTACGAGCGTAGGTGAGCGGAGCTCCCTGGTGATCCGTATCAACAGTTTGGCTGTCGAATGCCACGGCTTCAAGAGATCAAGGCGATCACACACAGTTTTCCAAAGCAAAGGGTCGAGTGCAGAGGTGCACACGGACAAGCGGTGTGACTACTGTGTGAAGTTAACGTGCATATACACAACGTACAGACATCATGATCATCTACACAGCTGGGTCAGTGGTTTGTTTTTTTTTTCCAAAAAGTCCTCGATAGTAAAGATGTTTTCTATCCGTCTCGGCATCAGTAAGCTCCACCCCCTCTTTTATTCGGAGTTAAGGAGCTACTGTGTTCAGCTGTCCTGTGTTCCAGCACAGTGCGTGTGTGTTTATGAAATGCGAGCACAGCCAATGCGCGGCTGTCCAGTTGAAGCGACGAGGGAGCAGAGAAAAAAATGAAGACAGAGGATGGTAGTCGGAGCAGACCACGGTGGGAATGAAGTGACGGCAGGGAGCGCCACCGAATCAGTTGGAGGTGTCTGAGTGGACGCTGCCAGGAGGACCGGGAGGAGAGGTGACCGAGGGGGGGTTGGTGGTGTCCTGCCAGCTGTTAGCCTGCAAAACGAAGTCAGGGAGGAGAGTATTCTGCATGAAGGCGTTTTATAATGAGCTGTCTAAATCAGCTTTATTTGTGCTTACAAGCCAAATGACTGGCTTGCTGGCTGGGGCTCTGTGATTTCGACGATGCGGAAAAAAACAGAAAGAATCGCGGAATTTAATGATAGAAATGACATTGGCGTTGGCTCGGCACTCACTGCTCAATGACGCGAGCAGAGAGGCTCGGCGACGCATCATCGAGCAGGCCGACCTGTCGGTGAGCTACGGCCAATGAGAGCGCAAGACACGCCGAGGGGTCACTCGTTAGTCATCGGAAGAACGGAGGAGTTCAACACCAGCAGCTAAATTTAGAACACGTTTTATAAAAGGGTGGAATGTTTTGTTTAATAACTGCATTGAATCACTTTCTTTGATTAAAGAAAATCAAATTTGTTGATTTTCAAAAAATTTGCTCAAATCCTGAAAAATGTAAATAGAAAACGCAGAATTTGGGAAAAAATAAAACAGTTTTCATAAGACCCTACTTACTGGTTGAAGACAAAATTGCTATTAATTCTTCAGCCGTGTTTTCAAGCAACCACGTTACTCAAGAAATCAGAGAATGTATAAAATGTATTTATTCTTTGTTAAACATATATAAAGGCAGAGAAATCCTCTCAGGAGAAATCTAGCTGGGGTCACATGTTTTACCCCAATTACAGAAACCTCGTTTCTAGTTTTCTTGATGCTCAAGAAATTGTCTTACTGGAGAAAACCGACTTTGACCAGGTCACATAAGTGCATGCAAACACACCGCTCTCTAACCCCGAGTTATAAATTATTAAATTTAAATCTCTAAAATAATTCACCAGCAAAATGCAGCTCTTGGTTTATTGTCAAATCCCAGAAAGCATTAATTCGGTGATTGGCAAGTTTTAGTTCAGGTTAAAACTGGCCTAAAATTGCTTTAAATGTATAATTATAACCCTGAACAGCGTTTCAATGACATTTTTTCAGTTTGAATCCTTTTTTTAACAATTGTTATCTGGAACACAGACATTAAAAAAAATAATAATTCATTTCCAGCAAACTGAGCTGAGCATATTCTAGTTAAGTATCCTGGCTACTAAACGCAAACGTATCCATGAGCTACACCACAAAAGGAGCCTTAGTTGGTACTCACATCCAGGCAATGAGGGGTGTAGAGGCCACTACCCGACAGCTCCTCATAGCCGCCCATCAGGTGTGTAGCACGGTGCAGGGTATCCACCTGTCACAGACACAACACACACACACAAAGCTCAACACAGTTAGACATCTTAAACTGAACCACAGGCTGGACAGAGGACTGATGGCGTCCACAGACCTCTGCTGTACGCAGCAGAGCCGCTCTGTATTACTCACTGCTCTGCTGCTAGTGACCTTGTTTTAATTAATAACAGTCAATCCGATCACTGAACATCGTGGCTCACCGAATAACTTCATGACTCTCCATTAAAGTGCCAGTCTTATACCTTTTGTTTATGATTAATCTGTTATTAAATGTATGTATAGCACTAAACAGCAGAAATATGTGGACTCCTCCAGAACAACAAAGGTGTGAGGACATGTCCTCCTCGTCTACATTAGGAGGTGAACACATGGAGAGAAGGGATGGAGGAATGTGTGGAAAGGGAAGGAAAACAAGGACTAAGAAGGCAGGAGGCTGTTGGAGGTGCAGGAGGACCTAGAGGGAGAGAAACTGATCAATCAGAGCGGTTTCTGCTTCAATTTGCAGATATTCCAGCTCTATGTTGACAACTACTTGAGGAAGGCCCTGTGCTCTCTCTAGAAAGAACACATGGGTAGGGACTGTGTGAACATTGTACCTATAGTGGGATATGCAACAACAAACTGACATTATCCCTTGAGTGAAGCCATAAGCCCCTCAGGGCTCACTGTACCGAGCAAAGACGGGTCAGTTTGGCGTTTTTTTTTTTTTTATTGTTGGGGAAGTAGAGGATGAGGCCAGAGGTAACGTCAGGACGGGGTCTGAGGTCGAAAAGGAGCTACGCTAAGGGTAGGTATCCAGGGATTCTGGGTAGGTGGGTTAACGGCATGGAGGTCAACTCTTCAGCTGTCCCCGGTGCGTACCTGCGGCTGTAGAGAGGGGGCGATGCCGAGACCCTCCCCGTTGAGGGAGCGCAGGCTGAGGTAGGCGTCGCCTGTGTGAGACAAACTGTATGACCCCGGTGACCCTGCAGGCAATATATATATATATATAGCCAATAACCAATCAGCTCAAAGCGGTGTCATAAAAAGTCACCACTGGTCACGGACATCGACTGAAAGAAGTACATTTTAATAACCAGCTTCAATATGCGGGTCAATGTTCTCAGCCAGCGTGTGCTGTATTCATTATTCTACAAGCCTGAAAGCCCGGCTTCAGCTGCACACACACACCAACGGCCTAAACATGTGCCAGCTGGAACAAAACAAACACAATCATAAAGAGAGGTGGCTGTAACTCTAAAAGTTGCAAACAAGTTTTTTTTTAGCGGCAAAAAAAAAAAAAAAAAAAAAAAAGAGTAGATTTGGTTTGTGTGGTGGAGCTGGCCTTCTCTGTGGATCACAGTTTGGGGGGTTTTGATAAAGGAAAACTGAATGCGACACGTTTCCGTTTCCAAGAGTTGGTGGTTTTGTCCGGGCTGGGCGTTAGCGGAGTTAAGAGGTTTCACTTTGTGGACGAATGAAGGCGACAGTAAACTCCAAACAAACAGTAGCATTCATTGGTCTGTTCATCCACATTTTAATCTCTTTACACATCAAAACAATCTTGTTGAAACTGGAATGTTTACAACAGGAAAAAAAAACAAAAAACTTTGTGACATTCACAGAACATAGTTTGTCTTTAATACTTTGTATAATCAATGTCCAAAGCCTCATCTATGTCTTATATTTTCTGGTTCAAGATATCCAGTGAATTGATTAGATTGGGCGTCTGCCCACTGAAGTTGCAGTCATACTGCATCCTCCATACGCCTCTCACCAGAACTGTTTGAATTTGTGAAATTTGGTTTAATGCTGTGACGAAAAATGCACAAAATAAACTGTTTAAAGTGAACATAAAATGAACTGTGGACCATTGCACACATCTGTTGATCAGTGGCAACTCAGTCATACTTCCTCTTACTATCACAAAACAGCACAAGAGGAATTCAAATCTTGGCTAACAGCACAACAGCACACACTGTCTGGTCCTAACTAACCTTTGACTTGATAGAAAACCAGATGAGTAACAACATTACAGACGTTTTACTCTATGGGGATGAAGATTTGGAAAAATGACTGCTAGGAAACAAAGTGAAAGTGATTTCATGCAAAATAAAATCGGCTCAATTCACATGACTCTGAAATGAAAGCATAGAGCCTGTTAATGAGAAGCGAGAGGGCTTGTGGGTAGACGAGAGGGAGCATGTGGTACCTGAGTTGGGCGTTGCCGGAGAGTTAGCCTGGCTAGCCTGCGCAGACACGTTGGCAGCATCCACCGCTGTCTTAACTGCGTAGAGGTTCGCTTCCTCCTGGAACTTACCGATGTTCTTCTTGTAGCGTATTCTCTTGTTGCCAAACCAATTAGAGACCTGAGGGACAGATGGATGTCAGATATGCAAACTCAGGGTTTCCTTTGCCATTCATTTAGCTGCTGTAGCCCCCTCCACTAGCTCCGCTAGTCAGCTTGTTTTTTTTTTTTTCCTTTTAAAAGATGCTATAAAAGTAAGCACTGAAACTGATCTTGAAACAGAGACACGACACCCTCAGCTTCCTCAAAAACAGTTGCAGTGTCCTCGTACTCAATTAGCCCAGGATAACAGTGGTGCTAGCAACTCACCTGAGACACAGTGATCGCACACTTTTTGGCCAGTTCCTCCTTGGCTTCCTCACTCGGGTAAGGGTTAGACAGGTGGGAGTAGAAATACTCGTTCAGCACCTCTGTGGCTTGCTTGTTGAAGTTGCGCCTCTTACGTCTGACACACACACACACACACACACACACACACACACACACACACACACAGAGAGAGAGAAGAGATAATGACCAACATGCTTGAAATGTGGAGTCTTACACATTGTCAACATGCTCAGATCACTTCCTCCCACAAGGAAATAATCTGTCATTCAACAGACAGACAGACAGACAGACCTGGCATCGAGGAAACGCGAGCGCAGAATCATGACGGCCTCGCAGGTGCTCTGTTTGAGCTGCATCTGAATGGAGCTGAACTTGCGGTGGATGATGGCCACCATGCGCTCAATCTCCTTGGGAGAGATGGGCCGTGTGCGAGACTGCTCTCTCAGCAGGTTCATTACATGGTTGGTGAACTCACTGCAGGCCTGGACCGAGGAGAGAGAGAGGGAGAGGGAGAAGGAGTTGAACACGACTGTAAAAAGATAGCCCGAGCACAGATTCTGTCTCGTGCCGCGACATAGTTTTGATGATGACATGCCTCGGCTGTCTGACTCCTCCGACTCCTCTGTCAATGCTCCTTCATCTTTTCTCAGCAGAATAGAGCAACACCACGACACTTTCTTTGTGAGTTAGTCGTAGCATTGGAGCCATAAAACACAAGGTAGAGTAGTGGTTCTCATACAAAGAATACAGACGTGATTCGTGACGATGTTTGTCCGTGTGGTCTTGGAAAGAACATAATCAGAATGTTTGTTCGTACCAATTATGAATTATTTGCGTGTGGTAAAATGTATCAATGCCAAAATTAATTTCCATGCTGTATAAAGAAGCCACCTCTTATTTAAGCAGTTAAATTATAAGTGAAAGGACTTTAGAGTACCCAATGAGGAAGAGTCCAGATACTCATTTAAACTAGACTAAAGCATTTGTTTTCACAGATTATGTACTAGCTGTTCGTATGAATGACACCTGCAGACTCTCAGACGCCTGAGGCGTGATGTGGTTGCCAATCCCTTCACAAATGTTCATTCCAAACAAAACTACAGCGCCTGATTATAGTAATTTAAATACCTCCAAACACGGAAACAGGTAATCAGTCGTGTAGTGTGGTATTGTTTGACTACAATCCTATAAATCATATTCTAACAGCAGTTTACAGTCTACTTCCTTTCATTTAGCACAAGATTGTTACCAGACTGACAAACCCAGGTACACAGACGATACGTTTCCCTCTCCAACTAACCGACCTAAATACATTTAACATGTAAATACCGGCTGCCAGTATGCGTTGGGTCTGCTCTGCACACACCTGCTCATACTTCTCCAGCTCAGAGTGATAGATCTGGCGGATCTGGGCGAGCTTGGCTCTGTAGTCGGAGTGTTCGATGCTGCTGTCGGTGGGTGAGCCCCCCGCAGCGGCCGCAGCTGCGGCGGCCGCGGCCGATCCTCCGCCCTTCTCTGGTCCTGACACGCCCTCCGCTAGCAGCATGTTGTCCAACCGCATGATCTGGGGGTCTGGGGGGTCCTCCTCCTGCACACCTCGTATACTCAGCACTGGACAGAAGGAGAGAGGAAGTACACGAGTCAGCCGGGCAAGGTCACAAATGTACCGGTGTGCTTTTGTTACAGTCTGCCCTTTCTAGGACTCAGAAACCTGTTGGTTAGAAAAGTGTTTTGAAAACTGACAGACCACACATTTCCCTTCGAGGAGAAGGCTAATCCTGTGGGTTCTAGAGGTGCATAGAAAGACACTTTATCACTGCTAAAATTCAAAGAAGTGCAGCCCTGTCAGAACCCAGTCAAGTTCCTCCCCTGAGTCATTGCTGTGGGTGCCTGGCTGAATCCTCAATGAGCCTGAACTTTCTCTGACTCAGCAGCAGAGGGCAGTGTGGTCCCTCTGTGGCAGGCTGCCAAAGATAAGGGCATGAGGCATGGGACCAGTAATGGGAGTGCATGTGCTGTCACTATGAGCCCCAGTGGCCATAAGTATAGTTATCAGTTGCTGCTCTCCACCACTGCATTATACCAGGACCTCTGTCAGCCTGCAGCCATGCTCTCATCTCTCTCCCTCTCTTTCTCTCTCACACTCTCTCACACACACACACACACACACACACACACACACACACACACACACACAACTCTGTTACCCAAAAATTTAGCAGAGACGACCGTCTTTTCTTCAGAGCCCAAAGCTTTGAAAATCGTTTGCCCCCTTTTTGCGTCTCAATCATTCAACTTCAGAAAGTTGGCTCATAAATCAATACCTCGGGCACATTATGTAGTAAAAGTCTGTTTCTTTTGTAGATTACAGTAATGATATGAAACACATGGATCTGACAGAATAAATACACAAATTAAAAATAATTGTAGAGGCTGTTGCTTTTATTGCATATATTTACTACGTGCTTTTTTTATTGGTAATTACATACATTGCATATAAGAGCTCAAATGATTGGTTGATTAATCAACTAGCCATCGACAGACAAATGAAAAAAGAGCAGTAAGCTAATTATCTCTGACCGGTGGGCTGCTGGTCAGACAAATAAAGCAATTTAAAGAGGTCTCCTGAGGTTGCTTTGCTTCTTCTTTTGACAATTTTTAAAATGTTATAGATTAAACAACAACAACAAAAACAAACCAAACAAATGGATTCATCTAAAAAAAACTGAACCGCAAATTAGTTGATAGTTAAATTAATTAGTCTTTGCAGCCCTACAACACACGCCAGCAACAATAATATCACGAGGATTTCAATGCCGAGCTTAAGTTTGTGTAAATTAGTAAAATGTAAAAAAGTAAGGAAATTGTCGAATGAAAAAAACTTTCAAAATATGAATATTGTGAAATATTGGTTGAGTCACAAACACAACAGTGCGTCCACACTGATGTTGATCTTGTAACTGGAGACTTGATTAAGAAGGAAAAAGCCAATTCAAACAGCGCTGAGACAGACTAACAATATGGATGACAAGATTAATCCAGTGGAAACTGGGTTAGGCATTGGTCCTCTTTAAGGATTAGTTAGTTAGCTCATCATCAAAGGGTTTACGGGGGGGGGGGGGGTTGCGTGAACTCACTCACTCATAGCGTCTCTAACTTTTTACTAACTTATGATTCTTTATGAGTTTGTCAAAGTTGAAGAATCGAAGAATCACGCTGGAGGAAAAAAAAAAAAGAAAAAAAAAGGTTTGCAGCCGAGGAGCAGTCAGAGCTAACAAATGAGTAGAGCTGCACTACAGCACCAACACATGGGAAAGAAATGAGGACAAAAACAGTTTTGCTTAAAGTTTCCAAGCGCTAGGGAGCAGATGAGTTTTTGCTTCTTTTTTTTTTTTTTTTTTTTACAAACTTCATTTGATAAATGAGTCTGTTCCACCATTTAAGGCCTCTCGCAGCAACGCGTCCAACTTTTCCTCCCCCTTTTTTTTTTTTTTTTTTTCTTGTTCCTTCTTGCCTTTTTCTTTTTCTTTCCCTCTGCTTAGGTCTCCTCACTCTCTGAGGCGCATTCCTGCTCTGCTGCTCCCCCATCTCAGGGCTCAGGAATGCAGCAGACCCAGCCGCCTGAACTAATGACCCTGATTCGCCCGTCTCTTTCCCTCCTCTTTCTCTTTCCTCCCGGTCATTCACGAGCCATCCCTGCACTTCCTAAACTGATAAGCTGAAGCTACATTTAATGACCGACGACAAAGAGGTGGGTTTTGTACCTGTTGAGTGATCGTTCGGGTACTTTGACGACACTCTGATGGCGGTTAAAGTTTTTGTGTGTACTGAAAAGCTGTTTGTAGTAAAGTGTGGGGTTGATCTTCAACTGTACTGTGTTCACTGAGAAGTACAACTGACCCACAGTGAAGAGGGCAACTGTGGCTCTTGAAGCTTCTCACCTCTCCCTCCTCCCCTTTGCCCCCCCTCCTACACACACTCATCATCATCATGGCCCCCAGCTGTAGCCTAATGCCCCTACATTCCCCTAATTACTCCAATTAAGCTGTGATTACCCACAATTGCACTCATGCACAGTCTAGTGGCCTAGTGGTATTACAGCAGCTGTTGAGACGAGTTAAGATACTGCACAAGAAGAAGAAGAAGAAGAAAAAAAAGAGTCCAACTGTGCTCCGCTCACAAACCAACCGCGACGCTCCTGACAAATACAAATAATACAAAATAAATCCAGAGGTCTGAGAGCTGGCTGGCTGTTTTTACAAAAATCAAAAGAGCGTTTCCTTTTGATCAACTCGCTCCTGACATCGCCGCTGGGCTGGTTCCGTTACTGAGAGACTAAAACTCAGAGTGCTGGAAGTAATGATACTTAAAGCTTGCTTCTTTTTTTTTTTCGGGGGGGAATAAGAAGACAGCTTAAGGCCCACAGCCTGCATCCACAGCTCTTAGACATCACACTATTATGCACACGATACCACCCTAGCTGGGCTGCGTGGCATTGAGAGACGGAGCGAGCAACACATACTATGAAATATTCAGGATATCCAGCTGGGCTTTCACTGCATACATAATCACTCTCATTGCTGCACAGCCAATGTGGAAACACAACACACACACACTATATGAAGTGGTGCAGGTAAGGGTGAACAACCCAACCAGCAGTGTGTGTTGCTGTACATTAACTGTAAATGCCTTCCACACATAGGGAGAGATAAGACTTAAACGCACTCAGTATATCATTGCTCAGCTCACAACACAAGCTTTATCCTTGTCTGTCTTTTCCCTCGCTAGCATCCCCTTTTTCACTCTGTCTCCCCCCAACACACATCCCCTCCCCCCCTCCCCCTTTCACCGCACCCCCCCCCCCCCCCCCCAGTCCCCCCCCCCCCCCCTCCCTCTGTTCTCCATTTCAGTCGAGTTCTCCATGTGAGCCGCAATCCCTCATGCTGTCAGCCCCCCCCCCCCTTCTCCCTCTCTCTGTAGACAGACAGGATTAGCATTTTAATTGCATCAGCTCCCTTGGGTATTCTCAGCCTTTCACTGGGAGAGAGCAAGGGAGCGGGGGGGAGAGAGAGGGAGAGAGAGAGAGAGAGGATAGAGAAGGGAAAAAGGGGAAAAAAGGTAAAGAGAGAGAGGGTGGAAGGAGAACCAAGGAGAATTGAAAAAAGGAGTCACAGGAGAAGATATGTGTGCAAGAGAGGAAGAGACAGAGAGAGAGGGAGAGAGGGAGGGAGAGAGAGGCTACAGAAATATACAGAATCCAGAATACAGACGTGCCACAGAGCAGGCGAGCCAGAAAGAGTGAAAAGATAGGACTGTGAAAACATCAGTTTTCTCTTTCACTACAGACAGAGAACTCGGATAAAGAGAACGGGCCACAGAAAGATGAATTTTACGATGAAAATATGCTACATGAATATGCAAATTCACCTCGCAAAAACAAATCTCAACTGCGGCGCTCTGGAGGTGCGAAAGGTAAAAACCCTGTCGAAGAATTAAAACGGTTCGCGGGATATAAAAACAGTGAAGGCAATACAAATGTGCCAGGGAAAATAAACTTGTCTGTGTTACACTCCGCTCTCAGATGTTAAGAACAAATTAAAAAAGCAAAAACAGAACTCCTGTACAAGCATGACCCTGAGGATAGTTAAACCCCACAAGGTTGAATTTGGTTTCTAGGTTGAATGAAACACGAGGAACTTTCATTTCACTAGATTTGAATACCGAATCTAGTCGTGATGGAGTAGTTTACTCAAAGGTCAGATATAGTATCACACTGATTTCATAACCATGTTTAAGTTCCTAACAGTGACTTTAAGTCAGGACTGCGCGATTATGGACAAAATTCTATTCTACATTTGATCATTTTACTTCATTATCGTCGATATTATCAGCTGTTTATAGCCAACGTTAGTGTTAAGAAGTTAAACAGGTCCCTCTCTAATATGCATTTATATAACTGTAAAAACATCTCTTTCAAACAACTGTGTTTATTCAAGTTTCTCACCAAATTTAAAAACCATAATAAAGTGTGTGTTAGCTCGGTTATAAGCAGGACTGTTCTAGGGACCCCACGCTGTCGGCAGACGAGCCAATCACTGCAATTACTCTGAGCAGCATGCATGGGAATGAATCACATTATGTGAAAGTGTCTGATTAAGTTAGTTGCTCCAAATATTTTAAGGTTGTTCCTCTGCAGCTTCTTTTGGGCTTTCAGTGACGAGCTTCATGTCTTCTTCCCTCCTGCTGAAGAACTGCATGTTGTGTGTGGCTGTGGTGTTACTGTGTGTTCCTCAGTAAAGCCATCATGAACGGGAAAAAAAATGTATTATGACACTGATACATTCCTGCTAATTAACAAATCTTTGCATTAAAATAAGTTTCTTCTATTCTATTTTCAACATTCAAGCCTGCATTTCACAGGCTGCTGCTGCAGGTGTAGCGGGATGGCAGCTCCCCAAAATTGGGGCCAAAACATCTCCATAGCCCCCTGGTGGCTGGCTGTTAGTTTAGGAAGCGCTTGATTGGATATGCAGCCGCGTTTCCCATAAGCGGAACTCTGTTCTACACATGAATACCAAAGTCCATCATGTTCATTAATTACCAGGAAGCCT